CCCATTGTTGTCCCCATTGCACCTCTCGAGGGATAGGAAGCAAAGGGAGGAAAAGAGTTCACCGCGCCTCGAAGCGTAAAGTGAACCATGGATAAGCGAAGTTTCGACAAATTTGCGGAGAAGGACGGGAATTTCTTCATGCACTCTGAGAGGTTGCTGCAAGGACTTCGTTCTTCATCTCTCCATCCCCCGCACGCTCCTGGTTTCCATTCTCCTCTGCCCCCCGCCCCTCGGGGGCGACGAACATGGAGCCAGCACTGGGGATGCAGCGAATTGGATGCATGCAGCTGTTTGCCTGGCGCCTGGAGGCGCCGGGAGCGACCGTGCATCATGAAAGAACCCGCTGGTGCTGGCGGGGCCGAAACCGGCTGCATATGCAGCGATCTTGTAACTATCCCTCCCTTTGCCGACACCCTCCCCCCGTCCCCCCCCAGCACTCCGGGGCCTCATCCGGCCCCCGTTCTCCCCTACCCTTCCCATTCCCTGCCCTCGCCTCCTTGGAATCGCCGCGAGACTGCGCTGGAGCCATCCCGAGCCAATGGGGCTCGCGCCGCAACGCTGCGCCGACACGATGGCGGAACTTGCCGGAGGCCTCTCGTTTTCTGGTACCCTCCTCCGTCCCCTCGAGTTCCTCTGCGGCGGCGAAGGCGAAGGCGACAGGCGACGGAAGCCTCGGAGGACGGACCTCGGATGACGGACGGCGGATGACAGGCGGCGACGGCGACGACGATGACGAGGCACGGACGGCGACGACGACGATCACGCTGGCGGCGGCGACGACGACGACGACGAAGTTGAGCGCGAGCGAGCGCGCCTCGCCGACGCCGAGGGGCCGCACCTGCGGAACGCGGCCCGCCTCGGGGTCCGAGAAGTGCTCCTGCCGCAGCTGGCCGACCGCCTGGCGGCAGGAGAACGTCACTTGGAATGAACGGCTTGGTGGTTAATGCGATGGGGGCTACCGTGATGGCATTGGATAAGGACACCTTCGATAAATAAGGAATCCAGGGTCTGGAAGCCAGTGGAAAGCCAATCGTGGATTGGCCATGGATATCACCGCTGGCCTGATAAGATAAGGAACGCTCCAGGGTCTGAAGCCTCCTAGGCACGTTCCTTAACGAAAGCCCCCACCGTACTTCTGCCTGCTTGCGCAGTTAGAACCTACCCAGACAATCCTAACCACCATGGTTGGCCAGTTCCCCCCCTTAACCACCAGTCGGGGTTACGAAATGGTGGTTCGGATGCCCTGGTTCATATCTTTATGAGATAGGTTGTTGCTGCACACTTGCTCAACCACCAACGTCCCAACCACCATTCGGAAGTTCGCACAAGTCGACATAGCCGCCGTCGCCGCCGTGGCAGTCCTTGCTGGGACGGAAGAAACCCAAATCTCTGGCGATGTGATGTTTTGCAATGCGGGCGTTGTTCTTCGATTTCGGCCCCTGCGGCCGGCTCTCGGCGGTTTTGGCCCCAGGATACCTTGCAGCAGCTACGCCTCGCCGAAAGCGTGAAGGGGCAGCCTGGATCGTCCCGAACGGCCGCCAGAGAGCCGAGGCATGACTCGAAAGGCAAAAGGAAGCAGTCGTCGCCGTCGTCGACGTCGTCGCAGTCGTCGCCGAGGAGGTCGTCGCAGTCCACGTCGCCGTTGTCGCCGCCGTTGCAGTCCGGGCGGGGCAGGAGGAAACCAAAATTTCTGGCGATGCTTTTCCAATCTGGGCACTTCTCTTCGGTTTCGGCCCCTGGGACCCGTTATCGGGTCCATTGTCTCTGAAAAATGGGTCCGAGACGAAACACTATCCTCTGGGAAGGGGTCGGTACCTCTGGGCAGTCGTCGCTGTCGTCGGCATCTTCATAGTCGTCGCCGAGGCGGTCGACGCAGCCGTCTTTATGCCGTCGCCGCCGCCGTCTCCACCGCGGTCGTCCAGGCGGCGGGCGGAGATGGCGGTCCAAAGGGAGCAGGGAGCCGGGGCAGAAACAATTGCAACATCGAGGCTGGCGGTTTTCGGACGGGGCCGATGGGTAAAACTGTTTCCCCCAGTCCCGGCAAAACTGATTCGTAAATGACCGCCCCGGCGAGGCAAGGGGTGCAGCTGTGGTGGCTGTTTGTATCGCGACCGTACACTCGAGTGCTCCCCGAAAACTTTCCAAAACGCTTTTGCAACGCTCGACCAAACGCGCGTCATACTCCATGCGCGTTTCGCCGAGTCGATGCTCCCTACGGTCGGCAACTTTTGCTTAGCGTGTCGCGGCGGCGGCCCCAGCGACACGCTATGCCGTGCAAGCTGATAGCGTGTCGCTCTGCTCCGCGGGGCGGGAGGCCCGGCAAGGCGCGAGATGTTGATGCCCCGAGACCAGGACATGGCTAGCGTGTCGCGACGAAGCGCGGTGGGCTCGGAACCGGCGGCGCGACACGCCAAGCCGAAATTCCTGACCGTATCTCCCGGGGTCGATCGGTGCGCATGAAGCGTTTGGCCCAGCCCTCTGTGCTGCTCGGATGCTGAGTCTCAAACGCGGCGGGACTTCTCAGAAGCCCTCGCGCCTTCTGAAATGTCCCGTGTCGTCGGGGAAGGCTTAGACAGCTTCTCAGAAGGCTGGAGGACTCCCGAGCCTTCTGAGAAGGCCTTCTCCTTCTCGCTTCCCCCCCTCGCTCGCCACCGAGTGTGGCGCTCTCGAGCCCGTGCCTTTCACGGTGCGCGTGCCGACTCTTTGGCAGCGCTGGGCCTGGCACTGCGCACTCGACCGGCGCCCTCGCCAATACCTTTCCGCGCTCGCCCGAGTGCTGCTCGCTTCTCGTGCGCACGCAGGGGCAAGAGAGCAGTGCACATGTGCCGATTCTGGCCAGGCCCATTCTGAGCCCAGGGTCGGTGCACTCGCCCTCCCAGCTTGGCCTGCGGGGCGCGTGCACCGATCCAGTCTTTGAGGAGGAGGAGAAGGAGGAGGAGGAGGAGGAGGAGGAGGAGGAGGAGGAGGAGGAGGACGAGGAGGAGGAGGAGGGAGGAGGAGGGGGAGGAGGAGGAGGAGGGAGGGGGAGGAGGAGGAGGAGGAGGGAGGAGGAGGAGAAGGAGGAGGAGGAGGAGGAGGAGCAGGAGGAGGGTCATGTGCACACTTCTCTTCGCCCGACTGCAAAAGGCTCGCCGCCTTCCCGAGAAGCGCAGATCCCTCGCGGTGCCAGACGCAGCTCCGCGCCAGTGATGGCGTCCAAAACCTCAGAGGAACGCCCGCGCTCTGGGACCATCGACACGCGCTCGCCCGAGGTTCGCGTGCGCGTATGCTGCGCTGCTCTTGCTTGGCTTCTTAGAGGAAGAGAATGCTGGGCCTGTTTTCCACCACCGCCACCATGCTAGGAGGGGGAGGGAGTCCTCCTGCTCCTCCTCCTCCTCCTCCTCCTCCTCCTCCTCCTCCTCCTCCTTCTCTTCTTCCCCCTTCTCATCCTCCACCCCCTTCCCCCTTCCAACTCATGGTGGTGGTGGTGGAAAACAGGCCCATCAGGGAACAGGGCTGGACCTAGACGTTGTGTTTCGTTTTGTCTTCGTTGTGCTTCTCGTTTTGCTCGACCTGCTTTCCTGTACCTCCCTGCCAGAACGAAGAACAAGACACGGCCGAAGTCCAACAAAACAACGTTTCAAACCAACCCTGGAAGAGAAACGGAATAAGCATTAACTGTTGGAGGTCCGCGTGGATTTCTTAAATCTAACGCGCTCCGCGTGCCAGGGGCGGCGCCGGAAGCGCCGCCAGTAGGGGGGCGCAAGGTGGCCAAATCCAAGCGCGCAAGTCGCCGCTGTCGCATTGCGCTCAGCGATTGGGGGAACCTGATAAGCCCGCACCAAGGGTCACTGTGGCGAAGAGTCACTCATTATATATAAACAACAAACAATAAAGGGTAACTACTTATTTGTTTGGCGGCCTTATTGAAAGATCGGGGCCCCAATACAGAGCAACGAGTTATTCTGTTGCGCGGCACCCGCAGCGAAGGAGGAGGAGGAGGAGAAGGAGGAGGAGGAGGAGGAGGAGGAGGAGGAGGGAGGAGGGGGAGGAGGTGGAGGAGGAGGGGGGAGGAGGAGGAGCAGGAGGAGGAGGAGTACGAATTTGAAAGGAGCAGGAGCAGGAGGAGGCTTGGAGGAGGAGGAGGAGGAGAAGGAGGAGGAGGAGGAGGAGGAGGAGGAGGGAGGAGGAGGGAGGAGGGGGAGCAGGAGGAGGAGGAGTACGAATTTGAAAGGAGCAGGAGCAGGAGGAGGCTTGGAGGAGGAGGAGGAGGAGGAGGAGGAGGAGGAGGGGAGGAGGAGGGAGGAGGGGGAGGAGGGAGGACAAGGTGATGGAGACGGAGGAGGAGGAGGAGGAGGAGGAGGGAAGAGGAGAAGGAGGAGGAGGAGGAGGAGGAGGAGGAGGTTTCAGGACCAGTCCTATTCACCGCCGAAAAATCGAAAAACAAAGGGGGGGACCAATGCGCAACGAGATGACCGCGGTTTTCGCGGTGCTCGCGGGCGCTGCCCCCCGGCGCAGCGCCCCCTCGTCGAGGCCGTGAGGCTGCGCTCGGCTGGTTTTTCTCGCCGGTCGCTCGCCCGACTGCTCTCGGGACGACCGAAGCGGGTACGGAAAGAATGCGTACTCTGGGCTTCTGATTGAGAGTGTGCGGGTACCACCCCGACAGGGGTCAACCTCGCCTTGTGGTCGCGCCGCGACGCGAGTCGGAGCGCGTTCGGCGCGCGGTGGCTGCCCGCGACGGGGGTCGATGTGGGGCTGTCGGCGGGGGTGACGCCCCCCCGACACTTATTAAGAAACGCGGAGTACGGAAAGAAGGGGTATAGTTTGGCGGCGACCCCGGGAGGAAGTGAGAGAGGGCGGGCCTTCTCAGAAGGCTCGGGAGTCCCCAGGCCTTCTGAGAACTGAGCCTTCTTCGAAGACGCAGAACAAAAAACCTCTCAGAAGACGCGAGGGCTTCTGAGAAGTCCCGCCGCCTTCTGAGAAGGCCTTCTCCTTCTCAGTTTCCCCCCTCGCTCGCCGCCGAGCAGTCGGACCCAGGCCAGAGGAGCATCCCTCACGAACATGAGACCCTCCGTCGGCCAAAACAAACAGAGCATCCAAGGGTACCCTCCCTCCCCAGGGCGCACAAGAACATCCAACAACCACGTAAACACGAGGGTGCTCTCCCCGAACCGACCTCACTCTTATACCTCGGTCCGGCTGTACAAAGGCCGAGAGCAGTTACTGTTCATTGTGAGCAGGATTCGCTGTCGATGTCGCCGCGGACGTTGTCCATTTGAGGCAGGAGGCCGCCTGCCCAACAACGGCCGCTGTCGGTTTGGGACACCACATGCTGTATGGCATCGTGCCCATGTTTTCCGTACCAATTTCGAGTGTCCAAATTACTGGAGGAGGCGAGGAGGGGGGCATGAGGAGAAGGAGAAGGAGACGGCTAAGACCGCTGGGGTTCTGAACATCAACTTACTTGACTGGCCCCTAGGATGGAATATGGCTGCAGGCCAAAACCTCTTGACTTAGGAGCTGCCCGGGGCAAGCCTCCTCCCCTGTCTGTCTGGGGGATTGACGGTAGCCCTGCTTTGCGGGAGACCCTGTTTCGATAGGTAAAGCTGCTGGCTGTGGAGGAGGAGGAGGAGGAGGGAACCCTGAAGCTTATGAACGCATGGCGTTCCATGATGTAGTGTTTCACGCAATGCTGTCGGGCAGGCGCTTGGTGCCTCACCTGAGATGTCGGCTAGGCGTATGGTGCCCATGCCTGGAAATTTGGAAGGCCTACGGTGCCCCTTCTTGCCCATCCCGTCCCGTGGGAGAGCGGGTCTGCTGGTCGAGAGCAAACCCAAGATGCATCAACGATTCCGTGAGGCACCCTCACGTCCCAAGTCCCCTCGCAACCTGCCACCGCTCGGACGTCCATTCCCCGTT